AAGCTTGTTCTACCGGTGCAGACGCAGGGTGGCCACAAGAAAACAGTGCTGCTAATGCTGAAGTCAGGTGGTAGGTCTGTCTGTTGTGTGGGGGGCCAAGATCTGGGAGAGGCAAGCTTTGCACCATGACAGTTGCCACTTCCCCAGGACTCCCCGAACGGCACTAAATGCGGTATGGGAACATTATTCTTCAGTCCTCCCAATAACTCCATGGGGTAAGTAATTATCCCCCATTTTACTGATGAGGCACAGAGAGGTTGAGAGACCAGGCTAAGGTCACAGAGCAAAGACAAGGAGGAAGCAGGCATGAAATCAGATCTGCTTGGCCTCCCGGCACCAGCACTGAACCCTCTGGCTGTGAGCTCCCGGTGACCGGCTGGCCATCATGTCGTTAGCTGTGGAGGAGTAAGGGACTACCAGCATATTTGCCATTTTCAGCAAGTTTCGCTTTTCCTTTCACTCTTTATAGCTGGAGAACATGTCCTCAGCAAGTTTTAGCTGCTTCCTTGATACTGACAAATCAAGCTGGCATCTGTATTTCACGAATATATTTGGGGTATTAATGGCCAAAGGGAAAGAGGGTCGGCTCGGAGGGGCCCAGTCATCCCAACCCAGCCCCCTGCAATGAACACAGACCAGGACGGAAGCCTGTAAACGGCCAAAGCACGGGCACCACTCACAGCCCAGCCGCGAGCGACAAGCCTGACAGCAGCTTAGAGTCTGCGGGAATCCAGTCACGCATAGTCCCGGTTACGTGCCTAATCTTGTCTTACATGTGGTGGGTCTTTATTAATTTTTAAAATCTCCTTTGGAGGTGGCCCTTGGAATATGATTTTAAATGCTTTCCATAAGATCAATGAACGGGAAAAAGCAGGTTGTGAATTTCAAATCTGTAACTGTCTGATCTGGGAGAAGGGGCTGGGCCAGTGGGGGGGAGAGGGAAAGTGCAGGTCTCGCCAACCTGGGGAAGGGGCTCATGGGACCTTCTAGGTGACCGGATGATGCCAGGATTGACCCCAAGCCAGCGCTACCCCCACTCGCCTCCCGGGACACACTTTACCACAGACACACAATGAGCACTGCCTTTATTGGAGACCAATATTTGAGAACAATACATATCCCTCCTCATGGAAAATCAGTGTGGGGGGGATCTGATCCCACCACCCAGACATCAGTTCTGGAACATTCTGGAGTCTTTGACCTCGCCGCGTCTACTCTGACTCTACAATCCATAACGGCCTTCGGAAAATATTTCCAAAGTGTGTCCTCTTGCACTTAGAATCAGCCCCATACCCCTGGCCCTGGCCCACAGCCCAGCGCCTGCCCTCCTGCTCACACTCTCCTCCCTCAACTCTCCCTCTGCCGCCACCACACCTAGATCTGTATGAGGTTGTCTCATCCTCACCCTCAGGCCTAGCTCAGTGCTAATTCCTCAGGGAGGCCCTCCATGCCCACCCAGCTCAACAGCCATCACCACACATCCCTGGGGTCGGTCCTTTGCAGACCCTGTCACGCTCTCTAAAGGTTCTCTTATTACCTCTGGATCACCACTGGTTCCCCATCACCAGGCTGAGCAGGACTTCACATCCTCACTGTCACCCCAGGGCCTGGGACACGCCAGGCACCCATCTGGCTGTCGGTGAGGTATAGTAAATGGATGAGGGAATATTTCCTTCCAGTCTTTTTTCTCTTCACGAATCGGGCAGGGGAGCTGTCGATAGCTGAGATCACATGTCAACATTTCTCAGAAACCCCACAGGCTGTCTGTCACACCCATGCTGTCCTGTCACCTTCCCTGCCAACTCAAATTCAATGTTCAGGTCCAATGTCCTTTTCCTGTGGAACCATCCGATACCCTTACCCCTAGCCAGGGGAACCCTAACCTGGCAAATGCAAATTCATGGGGCCAATAATAACATTTACATAGCACTTTTTTTTGAGTCGGCGTCTCACTCTCTCCCAGGTTGGAGTGCAGTGGCACGGTCACAGTTACTGCAGTCTTGACCTGTTTGGATCAGGCAATCCTTCCACCTCAGTCTTCCAAGTAGCTAGAACTACAGGCGTGTGCCACCACGCCTAGCTGGTTTTTCGTTTTTTTTTGTTTTTTTGTTTTGAGACAAGGTCTTACCATATTGCCCAGGCTGATCTTGAACTCCTGGACTCAGACAATCCTCTTGCCTCAGTCTCTCAAAGTGCTGGGATTGCAAGAGTGAGCCATCGCATCTGGCTTACACAGCACTTTATAGTTTACAAAACTTCATTATTTCCTCAATCTCAACAGAGCCTTAAAACAATGGAGGCAAGGCAAGGAGAGTCTGACCACCCCCAAGCAAAATGAGGCCCAGAGAGGTCACACGGCTATTGATGTCACCCAGGCAGGAAGCTGATCCGGGGTATCTGGCCCCAAACAGCATAGTCCTTTACTTCCAGTCAGAGAGGTAAGAAGAATGAGAGACAATACAGAAAAGATGCTCCAGGAGGTCCATTGGCCTGGGTTTGAACCCCAGTTCTGCCACTTACTAGCTTTCCAGCTACTTGGAAGGCTGAGGTAGCTTCTCTGGGCCTTGATTTTCTCCTCTGTAAAATGGGAGTGACAATAGCTCCGGCCTCATTCCATTGCCAGAAGGATTAAATGAGTTAGCAAGACACACAAAGGGTATAACCAGCGCCCGGCACCTACTAAATGCTCAATAAACACAAGCTCTATGTAAAAGTGCACTCAGCCAGATGCACCTAGGGAGGGAGTGCACAGTCCATCTCTCACCCATGATCCCCAAACCCTGGGGACCCAAACCACTGGCCAAGGGAGGTGATTCTCACTCCATGCAGGGTGAGTTCCTAGCATGCAGGCTGCGAAGGGACTTGCATGACACAGCTCTTAGTCATACCCTCACTCCTGTGCAGACACCTTGCCACTCAATCAAGGATGGAGGGCAGTTGCTCTCTTAGACTAAAGCCCACCCCACTCCCGTGACACTCTTTCAAGCAGCAAAGGGGAGAGGCCCAGGGCAAAGGAAGCTTTTGTAGGAGGAAGACCCCTTTGTAAGTTCTTGTTTTTCACCCATCATAAACCAGGCAAATAAAAAATCAGCCTAACTACAAGTGCAAATTATGAAGAAGGTTTCCCCCCCCAGGGCACACCGTTCTCACCTCCGTTCAGCTGCAGGTAGAGAGAGCTTTCGAAAATGCCCATCTCCACGGGTTGGCCCTCCCAAGCTAAAACTGTTTCCTGGAACCCCCTACCTGCTGAATCACAGTCACACCCCACCCCTCCTTACAGCCCCATCCCTTGTGCCTCCTCCAAACCCCCCTGCTATAGCCAAAACATGCCATTCCTCCCTGCAAGTGTCCCCCAGCACACCGTGGCCTGAGTTATTCCCTCCTGAAATCCTCCTTTTCCTGGGCAAACTCCCAACTCCTGTGTGGAGGCCCAGACCCACAGTCAACTCCTCCGAGAAATTTTTCCCATCCCAGAGAAAGCCATAACCAATCCCTGCATGCAGATCCCAGAGTCCTTGGTGCCCATGTCCACTGCTCGTGAAATTGTTTGGTTCAACTCCCTCCACAGTGATGGGCACATCATAGACCAGTCTGTATGTCAGAGATAGTCCCCACCCTGAGAACCTCAGTTCTCCTCTGTCAAACAGAGATGCAAATAGTACCCACCTCAAGCAGCTATTCCCAAATTCAGCAAGGCACAGGTGGTAAGGAGCCTGATACCCTGTGTCTGGCACAAAGCAGGGGCTTGGCCACAGGGACTCTGGCCTCTGCCTTAAAAACTCTGTGTCTGGCCTCTTGACTCAGCCACGCAGAGCCTCATGTTTTCTGAGACCCACAGCAGATGGAATAAGAAGCCTCTCTGGGTGAAGAGCCCCACTCCTGGGAGGCAGCCCAGACCCGGAGGCACGTCAGCCAGGTGAGAGGCCTGGGGCTGGCCCTGCGGGCACCCTGGTCCCCCAAGCCTTCATTCCTTCAGCCTAAATGGGTCCCTCAATTAGAATCTCCGGTTTGAAAAATCAATATTTAAAGCCCTCAGCCTGCCAAGCAGAAGGAAAGGCCTTGCTTGTAAATATTTGCCTCGCCTGGCAGAGCCGGGCCCCTGGCTCACTGCGGCTGCCCTGCCTCGCTCCTGGCCCTCTGTTCGGCAGCTCCCAGCCAACTGCGCAGCGGGACGCCCCTGGGGAGGCAGAAGGGACCGTCTGGCAGCC